TTGAACTCAAAACAGAAAGAAAAGTTTTAAAAAAGATTTTGGAAATTAGTAAGAAAAAGTGGAGAGGGGAAGAAATTGATGAAGAAAGTAAAAATTTTATAGAATTATATAAAGATGTTAAATATATTAAAAGATTGATAATTTAAAGATTAATCAAATAATGTACATTTTAGGATGTGTAGGATATTAAGATTTTATAGTATTTATATGAACAATATATTATTTAGTAAAACGAAATAAAGATTTTAATATTTATTTTTAACTAAAATCTACAGCGATTAATTTAAGGTTAACTTTTGATTTTTACAATCTTGTTAAAAAAGAAGATAGACTTAGTCAATGAATTTCATATTTATAAAAAGATTTTTTTAATTAGATAATAATTATTAGATGCATGATTTTATATAAAAATGATATTTTGGGTTTTAATTAAAATTTTGGTTTTACGTAAATTTATTACATTGTGACTGGTTAACTTAATTTAAATATTTGAATTAATTGAAAAAATATTTTATGTACTAGTAATAGTATTGGCAGGTTGCTTGTCTGTGTACAGAATGTTCTCTGCCACATTTACTTCTTAATAGAAAAAGATTCGGTTAGCATTCAAATGTCATTTATTAAATATCTGCTAAGACAAATTACTATTAGGAGAATTTAGGTGACTAGAGTTCCTATTCTGCATTTGTTTTTGATAATTTCCACCCTGGAGAAAATTAAGGGTTTTCAAAAAAATTTTATTTATAATAAAATTTTTTAGAAAAAGGAGGGAATATTTTATCTAGTAATTAATACCACAATACTTTTACAGATATTTATATGAAAAAAATAAAAATATGCGGTTTTATATATCGCTTATAATATGTTTTATGTTTAATCTCCATTTATATTTCAATCCATAATATTTTATATGCTTTACAAAATATCTTTGTAAGAATTAATATAGCGTTGTAATAATAAATGATAATTATTTATATCTTTGAAATTTTATTTTGTTTGAAAAATATATTTTTCATAATTAAAAAAATAATTATTTACAAATGAAATACATCTTTTAATTAATTTTATTTACAATTTAATAGTAAATATAACAACTTAAAAATATTGCAAAAGCTTACATAATGTTTTTAAAAATATTAATTTGTTTTTGTTTGCGTCATAAATAATTTAAATTCTTTACCCATTGTATGATTTTTGTATTTTTTTATATTGTGCTAAGCACAATTTTAAATGGTGATGAAGAAGTGGGGACAGTACAATTACACAATTCTTCTTGTTTACGACGGGCGAAGAATGAACGACTGATCAATATTTACGATTACAAAGGTGGTCTTGATATTCAAAATAATATGTATGATGAGATAATTACGTTGGAATCATCTGAGGATAATAAAGCAACATTTGTGATTGATCAAAATGTTAAATCTAGGTTTTGTTTACATTGCGAAAAATATAAGACGTTTTATATTATTGGTTTGTTTTGTTTATCAATGGTTTGTGTTATTGCAGGATTTGTCGGTACTATTTTTTTCATTCGTATTAAATAAAAGTTTTTACTAAAAGTTTTAAAATTGTTATTATTATTTAAAAAAATAGTACTGTAACTAAGTGTGTCTTCGCCTTACTTTATATTAAAATAATAATTGTTTCAAGTATTTGTGTATAATATGAGATATTTGGATCATTTTAAAATGTTTATATTCGGTAGCGGAATTAAAAATAGAATTTCTTTTTTTCTAGATTTACCTTTTTATTCATATATAATTAAGATTAAATTTGTATGTTTTTAAATAAACTTCATTTGTGTTTTTATGTTTCATTTTTAATATTAAATCAAGTAGCCATGTGATTATAATAAAAATTAATTTTAGATGGAAATAAAAATTAAATTTTTTTAAATAGCTTGTATGACCCTTTCTCGCTCAAATTATTGCTTCATTTTTTTTTAATTTTAATACCAATTTTAACACAGTTCTTTAGGTATCTTATCCCATTCTTTTAATACAGCAATTTTTAATTCTTGAATATTTTTATACCGCCTGGCACTAACATTTTCGTTTAAAACATATCATAGATTTTTGATTAAATTTATATCGTGTGGTTGTGGTGATCATTCAATCAATTTTGTTTTTTAATCTTTAGAACTTCTTTGTAGCTTAAATATTTGCTTTGGATCATTATCTGTTAAAAATTTTAAATTAAAACCTACTGCACTTTAAATTACTCATCACTAAGAATTGTTGTATATTTTAAACTATTCATTTTACCTTTAATTATGTGAATATTTTTACAACTGCTTTTTACAAAACCAATCTATAAACCATGATTAAATCCCCACAGCGCTTAAATGTAGGGTTTAAATTTTTCATATCGTGCTAAACCATCTTTCCGGCGACAATTATTGTCCTATCTAACACAAACAGTGATATTTTAGATTCATCACACTATATAATCTTAAAAAGTAATTTTCAACTTTGTAATACCATTTAGCTGCTAGTTTTAATCTAACTTAAACATCTTTTTTGATAAAACTGATTTACATTTTCTCCTTCTGCCTTTATAGCCCAAACCAACTAGTTTTTTACAAATGGTTCTGGCACTTATACTTTTTTTCTGAGTTTAAAAACTTTTCCGCTAGTTTAATTGAACATTTTAAAGATCTTTTTTTATCTTCTTGTCAAGCTACAAAGTTTTTTGTTGTTACACTCAGGAGAGTTATAGAATAAAAAGATTTCTGGAATTCTTCTTTGGCATTCTTCTCGAACTTTTACTCTATTTATATTTATTTCTAAAACATGTTTAGACTTTCAAACATTATCATGTTTCAGCGTTGAAGTCTTGATTGGTTTCACATCGACTTCAAGACCATGTCATTTAATAAAAATTTCCTACTTGATCCCTTAGTTTAAATAACTATTTCTTTTATTTTATAATCTGTTATGATTTGAAAGACATATGAAAAATATAAATTAAATTCTTCAGTAATTTTTTTGATTCTTTTCAACTTCATATCCAGCCATAACTATGAACTTAAGCAAAAGCTTATTCTTCAACATAAAAACTATAAAACTTTTTAATTCTTATGTTGAAGAAAAATTTAAAATTCTATCTTCTATTTTCTTGTAAAACCAATTTTTTAAAATTATGCAAATAAAAATCATCTTTCATTTATTTAAACCTGCTAACCTTATTAAAAACATTTTTATGCCGTAAATCAATCTTTTTAGAAGTGTAATTATTAATATTTTAAGAAATGCAATTATTGGTTTGATCATATCTTTGCTTAAAAAAATTTTTATTTTTTTTTCTGCTGTTGTATATTATCGATCAAATAACAATCAACACATACAATATAGATAGAAAAATTATAGTTTAATTTTGACCCTTTTTTTAAAATTTTATAAAAATATTTTTTTATGAGTGATAATATTATGTTAATTTTATTTATTGTGCAAATTACTATTCATTTGATTTCTTTTAAGTTTTTTTAGTAGTCAAATTCTAAAATTTTAGGCATTGTAGAATTTTTCAATGTAAAAAAAGAAGAATTTCAAAATCAACACAAAAAGATTTGCTACAACGATTTACTCTTTACATGTAAAAAAGAAAGCACATAAGCTAACAATAATATAATTGCTTTTTTAACCGGAGTTACTTAAGCTAGTAAAATTATATTTAAAGATAAAGTGAAAAACGTTTGAGCACATAATAATTATTTGGAAGATCTTATACAATCTATTATAAGGTTAAGATTGATGGGTTTATCGCGCCGATCTTATTAAGTTTTTAAAATCAATAAATTTATGTTTTCTAGTGATAATTTTCACAAAAACAATAATAATTTTTTTTTTGTTTATTTCTTACAAATTAAACAAGCATATTACTATTGCTAACCTTGTCCCGAGCATTAAAATCTTCTTTACATAGCCTATCAATTTTTCTCTTCTTTTATGATTTTTTTCTACATTTTTTTTTCACAATAATTTAATTTAGGTCTTTAAAAATTTTGATGGTTTATTAATTAACTATTGGTTGATTTAGACGTTTCAATATAAATATCTTAAATATTTTTCGTGTATGTTATTGTAATACTGTTTAAGGCCAAGAGAACACTTTGTTGCTCTTTTGTTGTACCATAACTGTCTTTAATAGTTTTTTTTACAATAGAAATTTCCTGTTAGGTTTACTTTAAATATAAAAAAATCACAGTTTTTTATTAAAAATTTGTCAGTAAATATTTTTTTTGATCATTGTATTATAAATTCAAACATCCTTCAATTTTACTGTTATTTCATCTTATTTAATATTTTTTGCCCCTCGAATGATCAACAAGCTTAGAAAAAAAAGAGAATATTTGTTAAAAAAAGAAGAGGAATACAAAAATAAAGAAATTGAAAATAAAAAAATGAGATTACAGAGCCATTTGGATGATACTAGTAAATTAAGTTATGATCTAAGAAAAGAAGGAAAAGGCTTGCTAGATGAACTTATTTATGACTACAAAGAAGAAGAAATTATTTTATATCCTAAAATATTGGTAACTACCAGTAAAAAACCGAGTAGTAAATTACTTGAATTTTCGAAACACATGTCATTAATTTTTAACGGTCTTTTTTTTATGCGGGGAAGATGTACAAAAGAAGAATTAAGTAATATTATGCATAAGAATGGTTATACATCTCTTATACTTATTTATGAAAATAAAGGGACACCATCTTCTCTTACAATATCCAATTTTCCATTTGGCAATACATTTAAATTTAGTATACATGGATATAATAGATGTAAAACAGTTAATTTAGGAGAACACTGCCATTTGGTCTGTGACAGAATTAATTCTGAACTTAAAGATTTATTTGGTAAGATGCTACCTAAAAATTCTAAGAGTAGACGGGTTCTATCACTTAGTAATGTAAATGACAAGATAGGATTTAGGCATTATATTATTGTTAAGAATAAGCGGGTGGAATTGAAACAGGATTTGATGATCGATTTAAAACTGTACGAGATACGTAAAGGTACTTTTGAACAGGAAGGGGAAATTGTCTGGATTTATAAGCCATTTGTCAATTCTGGTAAATCTAATATTTACAACAAGGTAGAAGATAGTGATGTAGAATAACTAATTTAAATAAAATATAGTGATTATAACAGTTTACTATTAAATATTATTTAATCTTATAATATTAATTAATTGCCATTGTAAAACGTTTAAACTACGTATTGTATCAAAAATTCTGCAAAGTCATATTTCTCAGCAAGACTTAAAAGTTCAGTGTTCGCTGCATAATAAGATCCCTTACAAAACATACAACTTCTTTCAGGAACGCTTACGTCTATACTATCCACATTTAATTCTTCCATAAGTTCAGCAATCCTTTTAAATCCTTCATAAATCTCATTCATTCTAGCAAAACCCTCTTCAGTAGATTTTCCTTTAAAATTTTTAATAATTATACGGGTCATTACTGACCACATACTTTCTGTTACATACAAATCTTGTGGCCCTTCAAGTGTTCTTTTTAAAGACGCAATATCACCCTTAAGTACTGCAAATTTACGTTTAACGTCTTTTAAGAAATATTTTTTATCGCATAAACAGGTAAGAAGATGAATCCAAACTAACATCTAAGGGAGACAAAAAAAAAATAATTTATAGTAAAAAATTTAATAAAAATTATAAAAGAATATTAAAATGTTTTCAATATAATATAATACAAATTTAAATTTTCAGTAAACATCATGTCAATTTTTAATTTATATGCTCCGTAAAAGGCCTATTAGAAAATCAACCAAATTTAAGAAATTAAAAAATAATTTTAATCAATAAATAATTTATATATTAATATAAGATTGTCAATTTACAATTATTTTAAATTAAATTAATGTGATGTATATAGAGCTTATAAATTCAATATAACATAAACAATAAGTTAACAATTTTTTATCTATAATAAATTAATTTACACAAATACATTAGGGATGTTTCAAAATGCCCAATTTTTTTGAAATTTTAACTCCAAAAAAACAAAAAACATTTTTAAATATTTAAAAGCTAACTGAAGTCGTATGATCTTCATATATAAAATCATAATTTTTTAATTTACATTTCTTACATAACGCATTTTTTATTTCTTCTATAATTTACTCATCTCCGGCAACTATTCTATTTAAATTTGTTACATAAGGTATTTGTACATTTAAAATAATATATATGTAATATTACAGCCGTTGAAAATATTGTAAGTTAAATTTTATTTAATTATTTTCTATAGTCCCGATTAGTTAAAATATAAATTAATGTTTATAGTAAAATAAATTAAAATAATTAACATATAATAAATTATAAAACAATATAAAACGACATAAATGAAGTTTTGCCAATACATCACACATAACAAACTTCGGCTTAGATTTAAGACAGCTTTTAAATTTGTATCATACATTGTAAACCACCTGTTTAAACTAGCTAATCATTAAAAAATGTAAGTTTCGCAATTCAATCTATTGAGACATCTCGGATAGTTGTACTATTGGTTTTCTTTTCCTTATATCTTAACTTATAGCCATTAATTACTGGTATTCTATCTCCTTTCGGACCACATATACAAAGAAATTATTAATGTAGGAATTATAATTTTACAAAAAATTTAGACATTTTGAGACATCATGAAAAAAGTTATTGTCATATTTTGTTTTAAAGTAAACTTTGATAAAGATAATTAAAAGTAAAGTGTTTATTGCTATACCTTTAACCTTTTTTAAATAGAATTTTTTAGTTTTATTTTTTATTAATCATGAATATCAAAAATCATATTTTTGACATTCAATTTATCTTTAATAAAATGCACGTGGTACACCACAGTTATTATTAAAAAATGTTATATTGAGACACCAAAGAAAAAACAAACAGCAAACAAAAAACGCAAACATCCCTTAAATCGTGTTACACATTAGTATACCAATCATTCCTTGCTTGTATGAACAAGAAGATCTTTTAGAATTAGATCTACAAGGATTATGTCCATGGCCTATCTTTAGCAAGATGCTAAATGAAAACATACCTGACTAAATTCTCAGTAAAAGATCTAATTTAATCTAAGAAAATGCAAGGACATCAATAACTTGCCATATATACACCGGGTATAATATGTTTATTTTTTTTATTAGCAAAAGGTAGTTCCTGTTCTTGCTAATAAGCCTTTCCTTTTCTCGTACAAGCATGTATCGTTGTACAACCAGCTTGTCTAAAAATTCTACGCTTGCAAAAAAACCCTCCTTATTCTTAAGCAGGTCTTGGATTTATTGATATTATCAATGATCTTCTTACTTGTTCGTTCTTGTCTAAATTGCCTGTGTTAACTCAACTATTCTTCTCCAGTAGAGAGACCTTTTATCAGAAAGGGAAGGATAATCTAACAAGAAATTTTCAAGACATTCCCGTTCTCCTTCGCAAAGAAAGCAATGTCCTCGGTAGAATTTTGGGTTTTTATTGGCACTGGCTAGAGTAGAAAATCATCTCAAATTACCATTTACTTTTGTATACAACACTATACATCATTTTTCTGCAACATTAATCTTTTGTCTTCATTCTAATAAGAGATTATTTTATTTAAGTATAGCTTTTGTTTAAAATTATTTCTTATTTACCACCATATAAAGTCAAAAAATAAGCCTACCATCTTGTTGTTCGTCTTCCTTCTCGAAATTTAGCTCTCGCACCAGGCTTGCTTCAGAGCTTTGGCGGTTAGCTATTGGTGGGCTTTTTAAGGTCATTTTGAAGATTTTTGTTTGTATATATTTCTCACTTAGCCCCTCTAGCTTAACTTTATTCGTGTATAGAGACGGTAAAGGGTTGTTACAATAACATATCCATATCGTTACATACTGATATAAAATAAAATAAAAAGTTTATTATAAATAAAATAAAAGTTTATTGTTAAAAAAATAAAAAACAGCAACAGAAGAAAAACCACCAGGCCACCAAAAACTCCACTGTAAAAACAAAACATCAATATTCCGCTTAAAAGCCAACATACCATTACGGCCTTGCTTATAGGAGAAAAGAGCGTTCCCTTAGGATAC